AAGTATTTTGCAATCATTCCTGATCAATATTGGATTGCAACCAACAAACATTTAATGAAGATATTTAAATTATTATAATATATGTTGTAAATATTTATAAAATGTCCATGATCATTGCTGTAATTGTTTTTAGTTTATACCTTGTTGAAATGAGCAACAAATAAATTTTGCCATTGCATTTTGACATATTTTTAGAGTTATGTATGCAAAATATATCTGGTCTACTATATGACAATGAATGTTAGCCACTTTTTTACTGGATGAAGAAGAGACTTGAGGCAACAGAGATGTGTTTCTAAAGAAGAATGCTGAGAATACAATGAACAGAACATCGTAAGCAATGAGACACTTATACTTAGAATCTGAAAGAAGCAGTTGATATTTCTAGAGCAAATAATGAGGAAAGCTGGCTTCAAGAATTTAACATATTGAAAGCAAGAGAGAAACAGTGAGTAAGCTACATAACAAGATGGATGTCAGGGAGGGACAAGAGTAGTAAATAAACAAACATTGTTAAGAGATACTGTTATGATGTTGATTTGGGGTTAGTAGAGACAAACGCCAAATAACACGTAACAATAAAAAGGGTTTTAATAGGTTGGTAAAAAAGGTACAGAAATCGCCTGAGTAGTCAATAACTAGCTCAGCTAAGAACTTCTCTATCTATCTGTCTTCTCCCATGTCAACTGACATGCCACTATTTAAAGTCTGTTCACAGACGCAGACAAGTTCATCTTCAAGAGGGGTGATAGGTTTCTGATACAACAGATACAAATGACAGGACATTTTTATCTGATTTTCTTCAAACATGTCACAAAAAATTTGCCCTTATGCAAGAAATAAGATAGTGTGGGTTTATTCCTGCTCACTTCTCTGCATATAATGAACCAACACCCCCCCGCAAAAAAACTGTTCAAAAAGCCTGTTTTTCGGCCATAACTCCCTGGTTTTTCATCTGATGCTTTCCAAATTTGCCATGTAAATTACATATGACACACAAATTGTCTTGTGTGAATGTTTGGTTTAGATTATTTCAGTTAAGTGGATGAGATCTGCAACAAACTAGGTCCAAAATTGGCCTTTTCCATTTAGCCAATAGTTTCTTCATATGATTCCATCCTAAATTGGCATTTAAACAACCTTTGATGCAAAGATTAAGAAGGATTATTGAAGCATTAAAAGGGGAAAATTCCTGAAGAAACTCTTCTTAACACCAGCTTTACAGTAAATGGTCAAAGAAGGAGGGGGGCCACTCATGTGTTTGCACTTGCACTTGAATCAAGTTCTGATGCTTCATCCTTGTTTTTGTTTATTACATTTGTGAACAATGCCATACAATTTGAAAGTTATTATGGCCATAGGAAATTTACTGAATATCTAAAACATTGAAATAATTTAACCCCAAGCAATGATGACACAAAAAGCTTTTATCAATATAATTCCTTTATTAAGAACAATCAAACACTTATGAAGGACATACTGTAAAAAAGATGAGGAAGGAAGTAGCTTAGTATACCAATGGATGATGCATGCAAGCAGGGATTCAGGTAGACATTTCTAGACAGGAGGTGCAGCCATGTACACCCAGGCAACATGGTTACCTTTGGCTGGTATATTTTATATAATACACACACACACACACACATATATATATATATATATATATATATATATATATATATATATATATGTGTGTGTACACCTATAGGTTTCAGATAACTCATTGCAAGGATTTCTCAGCCTGCAGATCTTATTCTTTTTGTTGCTTTTGATGTTTCACAATGCTTTTGATAATTTGTTGTACAAACTCTCAGTGTGTATCTAAATAGAGGAAAGTGTTTTAACAGACAAAATGGTAGTCGTCAATAGAAAACAAGGCAAACCTACTGACTGGACTAACCCTTATCTATACAGAATTTCAGAGTGTCAATTGGAGCATTACTGTTATGGGATCTTACCCATAATAATAATAATGGACTATTCCATACTTAATAAATACTGCGCCTCAGGAGTAGGCAAGGAGTCAGTAGTTCAAGTCGAGTTAGTAGTGCAAGTCGAGTCAGAGGCAGTCTGAAACAGAGTCGCATTCAGACAATTACTGCAAGACATTGGAATAGTGATACTGGTCGAGACTACATTGTTCTCTCTACTAAACCTGATTGTTCATACTAACACTTCTACTTCTCTGTATATATTCCTGTTTGTAATATATCTGTGTTATTCCATACCTGTGTTCATGTTCTTCTTTATTGGTTCTACCTTGGACTATCACCGTGGTACTAGGAACTGGACCATAACAATTACAATACAAATCCACAGTATTAATGAAGAGAAAGTTGTTCTGTATGACAGCACGTAAAGAAGGCAAAAGAAACCCAGGAGAAAATATTTAAATAATAAATATTTGATTAATAAAATTTAAGTCAATGACTTGAAAAGAGTCAACATTATATGAGAGAGATTTCTTAGACCTTTCATTCTGCATCCATGAAAGAGACCAAATGTCTTTTATTGTTTCAGGAAGAACTGCAGTATATTTGGTGGAAAATACACAACTGTTTATCATATGAACTGCTTCACTATGATAATGTTCATAGCTAAAGATAAAGACAAATGCATATAAAGTTGATGAAAAATTTCTCATTATCTTTTGCTGAAAGTTATGAGAATCTTTTAAATATCCTTGAAGTCTACATAACTCTTTATTGTTTTTACATTCAGTGAATTGTTGTATGTTTTTACATTTAGTTGACTGTTGTATATTTTTACATTCAGTCAACTGTTTATACTTTTGCATTCAGTCAGTTGTATGTTTTTACATTCAGTCAATTGTTGTATGTTTTCACATTCAGTCAAATGTATGTTTTTGTATTCAGTCAATTTTATTATATTTTTACATTCAGTCAATGGTTTTATGTTTTTCCACTGTCAATTGTTGTAAGTTTTACAGTCCTTCAGAAAAATTCAGAAACAAGAAAAGTATTTTTTTTATTTTTGATATCAAGAATCATCAATATAAGTTGACTTATTCAATTTATTGTTTTCATCTTTTCACTGATAAAGATGCTATTATAGATACAATGTTTCAGCCAAGTACACTCTGGCAATCTTCAGGTCTTGATTATATGGGATATATCATGTATCATTTTGTTTAACTGATGCCAGGTTTTGTTCATTCCTGATAAACTCTGTATAACAATCAAAGAAATATAGATCCAATAATTCAAAGATATATATAATTTCTTATTTTAAACATGCAAAATAAAAATTATCAAAAGTGGTATGATTGTGCTATGATAACCTGATGTTGAAACCATCTGATATTGGATTTAAACAATGGTGTATTGGGACAATCATCTAGTGAATATAAGTATTAGTCAAGTGTTAATGTCATCCTATGGTTATGAGTTCATTCTTTTTGTCTGGTAGAATTCCAAGAGAATTCGATTTCATTATGACTTATTGGAATCTTGACAGATTGTTACTTCATGACACTGTGTTGAACAAATGTCTTCTTTGTCTAATGCATTGGATAAGAAAATAAATTTTCTAGACAGTTGACTGGTCATCTTGTTAATTGACAATTTTTGTCTTCATATTGCAAATTTTTCATTGAAAATAATCATAGATCCTAAATGTGAAATTCTTCTACATGTCATATTTTTCATCACCTTTTGACTATCTCTTGTTTTGCTTCCTGTTAATTCTTCTTAGCTGATGAGCAGTTCTAACAAATTTAAGCTATGAAAAAAAAATCCTCAAAATATTAATTGAATTGAAACCAAAATTGCTCATTTATGATGGAAATATACAATTTATCTGAAAGGTAATATTTTGAATAATGATATTATGAATTTAGATTAATAACAAACAATTATGCAAAAATTATTGGAATCATTTAATATTATGAGCACTTAGTTATGAGATTTTAGTGAGCTTTATTATTTTATGCAGAAATCATAAAAGAGTTAATATGCAATGTTTAGTGTTGGATAAGAAGAGAATTCAATTTTTTCAAAACATATTTTATTGAACTTTGTCTTTGATGTCTTAAAAAATTTTTCCTAAATTTTACTGTATTAATACAATGCAATAAATCACATACTTGATTTTCTTTTAAATAAAATTAATACCTCTCCCCATAATAACCTTTGCCTTTAAAAAAGTGACACAAATCTGCTTTTGCTTTTTATTTTTGGTTGGTTCATTGGTTTTGTTTAACAGCATATCAACATCTATGGGTTATTTAATACTGAAAATCTAAATATTAATGCATAATTCTATGCTTTCAACTACAGTTATTTTTACATAATTTTATACTTTCATGGTAAAAGTAAGTTTTTTATATATATATAATTTGTAAATCATAAAATGTATTATTGGCAATTTTACTATAAAAATGTATTTTTCTATTTTTTTTATTGTTGCATAGATGGTCATTTTGCTATGAAAAAAATATTGTTAACTTGTGACTTATTAGGAATTAAACCTGAGACCTTCACATAATAAATTGTAGGTGGGTTTAATTTAAATAAAACTGTTTCAGCAAATCAGGAGCAGGCTTGGAATTGGAGCAGGCACTACTTAAGACACACACAAATTTGTTCAGCTGTAAAAGGTCATTTGCCTGGGGAGGGGCTAACAGTCTCAGCTATTGTATTAACTCTGTGTCACTTCTCATTTCACATCTATTCTTTGTCATTTTATTATAAAAATGTACTGTTGATTTTTTTGTTTGGGAGTTCACTAATTGCTGGGACTTTAACAGCTGCTATCACTCTAGGTCAGTGTGGACCTAGGAACAACAGCAATTAAGATGTGGTTCCATGCTCCTCAAAGCTTCCAATCTCTCAAGCAGAGGCCTTTCTACTGGATGTAATTTATTGTTTGTTTTTGGATTTTGTCATTGGTAATATTTCAGTGAATCAAGGCATTTTGAATAATAGGATTGACATCAAATTCTTGTCTGATTATACTTGTGAATATTTTTGTTTTTTTAGGGCTTATGATCTAGAAGAGGAACACAAGAAAGCAAAGGTTAATCATAGCCAACAACAAAAGGAGCTTCAATGTAAATATGAAACTGAGACTAGCATTGCTAAGCAGGAACATGAACTCACTTTGGCTAAGGTTAGTATACAAGAATTCTTCCTTTTCTTGGCATTTTTTAACTTCCAACTTAGGTGTGATGATGACAAAGCTTAGCAAACTTACTTAGGAGAAGGAAAACAGTCTTGAGCAAGTACTAGCAACACATAAGCACAAATAACTATTTTCTTTGTTAGAATGTCCATTTTGTTATTTTGTACTGTCTCTGCTGTAATTAAAAAAGAATGCAGTTTCAAGGATTTTGGTTACATTACGGATTTGATCATAAAATATTATTATTCAAAGTTTAGAGATCTTATTTGTCTAACTATATCATTATCCTGGTTTTGCCTACAAAGATTCTGGAGGATGCTACACATTTGATAGAACTACCAGTGGCTAGCAAAGAGGTTTTTCCACAGTGAGTGCAGAAGCAGAAGTCTGGAAAAGACATCATGTTTACAGGACTGATATCTCTCCTCTGCTGTGAGTTAGATTTGATAAGGGAAGTCACCTAGGAAACTTTATGGCATGAAGAAAGCTTGTCAGTAGTCACTGCTTCCCATCTGATAGACTGTTTTAGAGAATCCATGTATCTTTTGTAGCACACCTCTATTTCGTTAGCTATTAGCCAATTCACCAATCAGTGGTGTCTTTGGAAGTTGGTCATCAGTCTAGCTCTAGTTTTGTGTTTTTTTTAGCATCAAGTCCAACAATCAGCATGAAAATAAATTACTTACACTTAACACTTAGTTACTGTTTTCTCCTTTTAAATAGTTGTATTGTGATAGTGATGCTTACAAGAGTTAGTGACAAACTTTTGTACTACATTCTGCATCATTAGCTGCAAAAAATACAAATATTAAAAGCAATAATTAAAGAAACTACAATGAACATAATACCATTCATCGTAAGAACCAGTCCTTAGTCACACTCCACACTCCCTTGCAAAACATATATGTGACTTTGGTCCTTTTGGGTCACCGCAGTAAGTCACTGCTACAATTAGATCTCTTTCTGATTCGTTCTTCATGTGAGCCTGATATGAAAGCCAAGAAAGCAAAACATGAAATAAAATAAGTTTTCTGCACGTAGGGCCTGAGCATCACATCCAATCCATGAAGCAAGTCCCCAAAATGAAAGCAATAAAGTAGCCAATTGCGAACATTCCCATCAGAAAAGGAGATGACCCCAGGACTGTCAGATCTTTTTAAAAGCAGGCCTCTCCTAACAGCCAGCACAGTTGTTGCAGACAATCCAATTTTGACACTGTCAGGCTCCCTATGAGACATTCTGGTAATCAGCCTTAACCATCCATTGTAGACCAACCTCACTATTGCCACTGTGATCCTGTTTTGTTGATACAACATTTATCTTGAGTTCAACTGAACACTCTGCTCAACTCATCACCACCCCATCCCATTTCATTGATACAACATCCAACCAAATCCAACTGAAACATTCCACCACAGGCCTACCAGTTACATCTAATCCCTTGTCACCTCAACTCACTACAGGCATACCCTCACAGTCACCATTGTGACCTTGTTTTGTTGATACAATATCTGACTGAATTCAACTGAAACATTCCACTACACCTAATCCCTCATTGCCACCACTGTCATCTCAGCAACCAATGACGCATACCCTAAATCAAACCACCACCATGACCTTGATCAATCAACATGTATCAAACTCAACCAATGGCTAAATCCACTTCAGACATATCCTGTAACCTCAGCCAATTCAACCTAAGAAATAAGTCAACTCCCAGCACTACTGATAAATACCCTTACAACTAATCACTTTCCTGATGATTAGTAACTGGAATCAATATTTTCTCCAATTTTTTAACAACTGTAAATATATCATGTATATTAAGCAAATACACACTGTTTGAAAATCTAATCTTTTCACAACCAAATGCTAGTTTTGTTATACAAAACTAACCACAAACTAATTACAGTGACTCAAAGAGAGCCAATTTCTTGACAGTTGCCAGTTGAATAAAAGAAATGACAGGTGGCTTAGCACAGACCCCATAGATGTATCAACATTGATGCATATCAAGTTGCTCTTATCTGTGACAGTCCTGAGTGTTGTGCATCATGAGTCCCATGTTATTCCTCCTGCAGGGCCTTAAGGTCAATACTGACACCTATATCAAAAGGTGCTAGATATGGCAGTCAAGTCTTGCATCAAAAAGGTAGCCATGTGTGTTTCAGCAGGACTATGCTCCAACACATTAACCAGCAATGGCTGGTTGAATATTTTTGCTATCATGTCAGCATATGGTTTCCTCATTCTCTTGATTTGAATTCCCTGGATGACTATTTCTTGTACCTGTATCAGGATGTATTGAAGGCTGCCATTTTCACATGCTGGTGATTAGCATAAATGTGAATAACCTAGTTTAGGCCTACAATTGCCTCTGAGCCTACATAAGTCATACTCAAAGCTGAAGATAATTTTATTAATAACCTTTTCCTAAGTTGAATGCATGTACAAATTTTTTTGAAAATCTACTGATTGATTTAATTTTTGTTTTTCTTTATATTACAATTTGTTCTCAATTACCTGACACACACTATGTTTTGCAGCATAATTCTAAACCTGCATAGATAAACAATAACAATATATCTACACACAATGTGGTCAAGTAGATAGAATGTTATCATTCTGAAATGGATCTGAATATCACCATTGGTCATTTTGTTATGGTTTATAAGGATCAATCCAGGGAGATGATCCCAGTGTGCACAGCTAATAGGAAGTGTAATACCATACTATGGGTTGACCCAAGGCTTCTGATTAAAGGGAGACAAAAAAACTGTGCAAATCCTATCGATGGTTATCCTAACACAAAGTCATCAATCATTGTGTCAAAGCATTTGATTGGTTAAATTTGTTCATCTACTGATTATTTAGAAAATTGTATTTCTGCTCTGACTTCCTCATTTGGAGCTTTGTGGTCAGATACAGGAAAACAAAGGAAGTTGATTCTGATTGGCTAAAACTAGCATTGGAATGATAGACATAGAAAGGGACTTTGGGGAGTTGAGTTCTTAAATGTCAAAAAATGTAGATGTGCTGCTGTCATGTCTGGAAACTGCTCCCCAGTTGTGTGGGATAGCAACCCCACTGGCTAGTTAAAAATGTACATATGTCGATGTGGTGGAAAAAAATAGATGAGTTTAAAATTCCCTTGTTGAAGTTCTCTTTTAGCTCTGAAGCAAAAACCAACTAGTGATCACCGGCTGTGAAAGAGAGAAGGCAATGTCAATATGAGTGAATTGACATCATCAGTTCAACACCAACCTTTGCCAAAGGGCAACACAACACCAGTTGTAACATATAGCACAGTATAAACAACCACTGTATGTATAAGCTAGATTTGTGAATGTTAAAGAAATACAGATGTGCCTAAGCAGGTATCTGCAGCAAAGTTTATCAAGTTGCTCCAGCAGATGGTCATACTCGGAAACAAGTAACCAACTATTATGCACATATCAGGGAAATGCCTGAGGGAAGATGATGTCAGCGCCAGTCTTCTTCCCAAACAATTACAGAAACGGGAACAGTCTGCTGTAGAGGTATTTGTCAGTGGACAGAAATGTGCTGCTCTGGTGGACTCTGGGTGCTTACAGATGCTGGTGAGCAGAGCTGTATGCCATCTATGGAGGCAGAAGGTGGTGAAAGTATTAATGGTTGATGGGAGAACTTTGAAGTGTCATGGGTATGGCAAAATCAAGTTGGGCATCAGGCAGGCTCATCCTGTGACTATTGATGCAATCAGGGAGCTTGGAGGTGTGCACCTAACCAGATCGGGTGAAGTACGCTTTCCTGATGAAAGCCTAAGCCAGTGTGCCACTATTTCTGTTGATGAGCTTGACTTTAGTGTAACATTTGACAACAATAATAAGGTATGGACTGCCTCATGGAAATGGATGATTGGTCATGCACCCAGTGAATTAAAAAATAAGGTGCAAGAATATACAGTGCCCTCCTTGGGATGTGTACGAGAAAGAACTTTTATTGTGGCAACAAAATGGATAGTTGTTGCCATATCCCAAAAAGGAGCTTGGCTCGCCAAAGAGTTTGATTCCTTTGATGGCGATTGTACAAGAGCACAAGTAGAAGGTCCAACTGGTGTTAGACTATCGTGAATTGAATCAATTTGTAGAGGCATTCACTGCTAATGCAGACATGTGTGCGAAGAAGCTCAGAGAATACCGATGACAAGGAGCCAATGTATTGCTTTTGAGCCTAAGAAAGGCCTATTTGAAAATCCATGTCAATAAGGCATTATGGCTCTTTCAGACTGTGGTTTTTAAGGGTCAGCGATTGGCTTTCGGGTTAAATGTGGCATCACTCATCATTTTTCAGCAATGAAAAACTGGTTTCTGCAATGCACATGTGGCAGCATCTCTCTGATTATGGGCTCGTTTGTTAAGATCCAGATCGATTGGAAGGCAGAGCCAAACTCTTGGGTCTGCAGGTCTGGGGGGAGGATGGCATACTTTGATGGAAACGCTAGTTGATTGTGTCCAGCTGAAGATGCATATAAATTTGACTGAGCTTGATACAGCAATAAAAGGTGTAAATCTGGCCATTCAATGGTGGGTATCGGTGTTACATTTGGTTATGGATTCGACCTGTGTACATCGATGGATATCAGACACTCTGACTGGAAAGGTATGGGCAAACACAAAGGCGGCTGGTGAGATGCTGGTAAGACAGTGCTTAGAGACTTTGCAAGCATTGACAGAGGAATACGCCTTGACAATGGATGTGATGCTGGTGAAATCCTGTCTAACCTATGCAGACTGCCTGACCCGAGTGCCACAGAGGTGGTTGGATTTACACAGGCATGGAGAAGAGCCACTGCCGAAAGGCTGTGCCATTGTGGAGAGTAGATTGAACAAGAATCAGGTGACCAATATACATCACCAAAGTGGCCACCTGGGTGTGAAGAGGTCTTTATATTTTTCCAGGTCTGTTGACCCATTAGTGTCTAGAAAACTTATCGAATCTGTTGTCAA